CCGACGAGCGACCGGCCGGCCGGCCGGCAGGTGTTGGTATGTGGCCGGCAGCGATTGCCTTACGTCACCTATTGAATCGTGCGCCACGACCGCAGCGCATTCCCATACACTGATTAACGGGGATTAGGGGATGGGATAATAAAGGCAGATGGAAAACGAACAGATGCCGCCGTCGCTGCTGCTCTTGCCGCCTTCCCACAGTCAGTTGTTTTCGCCGCCGCAACTTCTGCTGCGTATGTTGTCACCACTGCGTCCAGCAACACCAACACTGCGCTTTGAGTTTAATTAATTGCACAACTTGTGCTGCCTCGTCGAGATCTTGCCGTCCCTCGTTTACACCACCAACTTATCGACAGAAATCGACCAGAAAAAAGACTCATGTGAGTCACATGGCGAACAGCACTGCGAAATTTTAGTTTTTATTAGTTTGTAAAGTCCATATGTCTAGGAACATCCTTATTATCCAAAACAGGTAGGGCAGGACACCGGTTCTGCTGGAGTCATACCGGAGTTTGTGACTCAGAAACGTACGGACATGCTGTGTGATGCAGACGCACGTACCTTAGTGGTGCAACTGGCCCTGAATCACCTCATCAGAGGCTGTTCGTTATGATGAACTGCACAGTCCCTGCTTTTGTTTTTTTCTCTCTCGAAAGTTAAAGTTGTTGAAACATTCGTCCATTCAGTCATTATGGTCCAAAGCACTAAGCCGTAGACGACAATGGCTATGAACAATAATAAACTAAATTTACTTCTGAATAAACAGAACCGGGCATTACACCTTGTGCCGATTATCACACGCTGAGTAGTCATCTGTAGCTTGTCACGTGGGGAGGGCGAATTGCAGCCCTCGCAACAGACGGTATGGTCAGACTTCTAGCCAGTTCTGGGATCACCCAACCGGGACACTACGGCATCTCGTGCGAATTGGTACTCGTTTTTTGACTAGTTGCCTCGAAGCTGCATGGGATGAACTCCTTGCTTAGGACAGTTAGCGATTAAGAGAAATTCCAGAGCGGTTCCAGATATAAACTACGATGCTGATAGCCGCAAATTCGTCTCTAAGACCAAATTCCGCCAGAGGGCACCGCCCTTTGCTCATAGTGGCCTATGGGGTTCTTAGCATTTTAGCAGACCATGGCTTTTCAGAATCGGTAAAATACTAGATGTATTTCGCATAATTGAAGTCTCTTATATCCACCGAGTCTCCCCGGTTAAACAAGCACATGGTCTTTAGTATTGTTTAGATTCCCTGATAGTGTAATTAACATATTATTTAACATATCTATGCTATATGCATTTTTTCTAAATTTCCTTTTTTCAGATGCTCTGCAGCGTATCCAGCATGCATTCCAGTGCGACCCTTCTTCCGCCGGTGACTCCCTGGTCGTCCCCGGTTCTGCCTCCCCATGCGTCGAGTCTTGTCGAGACGAATTTTGCTACCGCTTAGTGGTCACCGACCCTGCCGGCTTCGAGAAGGCACCGGTCTTGGACAATATGGATTTCACGGACATTGTTTAATCGTTCCACTACTGGACATTATCAGTCGCATCGAGTACTCCAGAAAGAAACCTACGCGTCTGCGGTGTACCAACGATTGGCCGTTCGAGAGGACCACCGATAAACGATGAGAACTTCAGAAAAGACATAGGAACCACGGCAGTTCCACGTCATCGTCGTCACGAGTCGACCGAATCGCTTTCTGGACATGATCTTGTACATAAACGTCGACTAACCGCTCCTTGATCCGTTCTTCTATCAGTCGTACAATAAAATGTATCTGACAGAAATGACTAAAGCCGTGTTATATGTTTTGTGAATATGTGATCTAAAGGCCTATTGTAACGTCAAGGGCAAAATGCATACCAAATTTTACTGGAGCACAACATGACCTGGTGATAATTTAGGTCGTTAAGCTGCAAATCTTATTCATAAAAAAACAAACATTTTGATGACCAATGATTTCCATCTAATCTTGCATTTGGATGTCTAAGCCTGAATAAAAAAATGGTCCGCTAATGAGTCAGGTGAATTAGTTACTACGAAGAGAGTTTCATCTCCTACGACTACCGGCGGAAATGCGGAAACCAGCTATGCCAAACTTCCTATAGTTCATTACGGCGCTTCCCTTTGCCTTAGTAATAAGCCATCCTGCCACCGCGCACAGGAATGATTCATATAAAAATTATTATATCGTGTGGGAGTCGATGATAGAACGAAAAAATTCAACATTTTTTTGTTGGAGGCAACAAGCTTTGATCCCCAAGCCTTTTGGGGTCTCTGGATGGACCATCCACTTCGTTCACGAACTTGAGTCAAACAACATCCTCGATTATTACTTAAAATCACACTCGTCATCAGACTTCACCCTGGCCGCGATTATCACACCGGAAGTTGCCCGCTGCTTGCAAAAGGGACATGAAGGTTAGATGAACGAAAAGTAGGCCGCCCCATAGCTCATAAAAGAAACAACAAAGGTCAAAATCAGAAAAGCAGAAGTTCTTCTCTGTCTCCTAACAAGTGTCAGAATCATCAACAACAGCAACCCGGACAATCGCGTGTTCAGGGCTGAAATTGTTCCCTACATCCCCCAGTCTCTCAAAGTCCTTTCGCCGGCTAAAACGAAACGATCACAGGAAGGACGTGGCTCATTTCCGGGGAGTCTGGAGCAGCTGGTTCTCTGAACTTGGTAACAAACTTCAATTTCATTTCTCTAGTTGTTGCTGTCATCGTCATTTGGGATATCAGCGTTAATGGCAGAGCATCCAGATTATTGATGTCTGACGCTCTAAATTCATCAGTACTTCAATCCAGGGCTTTGCAATATACTCCTCGGCGCGTCTGTAATA